TAGGGCTCGCAGGACTTCTCTGCATAAGTGCTGGCAAAGGAACAGAAGCCCCGTGCGTAACAAATTGGCCCCCAATCCACTGACTTTCTGCCTACCATTAGTCAACGTGTAGATATGAGTGGGGAGAGTAGTATGGAAAGATAAAGGGGAGACCTCCAATCATCTGAAAGTGTAGAGGAACCAGAATTTAGCCCCTGGCTCACAGTCAACTTTCCATCACCTTTAGCTCAGTACTTGGGCTTACCCTTGCTATATAAATATTCATTGTGTGGACTCCCTGGGCACCCTTTAAAATAGCAAGTAAACACAGACTCATCTGCTCCCATTTGTTCTTGTTCTTCACAAAGATAAAAAGTAAATTGAAATGAGTTTCATCAGAGTAGAGACTCTGGGAAATTCTACCCAAAGTAGGTGCCAGATTAGAATTTGAATATGCTGGGTCTCGAATAAAGGAGACCTATTTGGCAGAGGGATTCTAGTGCCCTGAGTTCTAGAACAATCTATAAAACTTATAGTTTTTCATTTGCTTTGGGACAGATAATGCAAAGACAACATGTAAGGAAGGTGTGGGTTTGTCTATTGCCTCACCGTATTAGGTAGAAAAGTTTTCATTTAAAGAAGTCTTCAGACCAGAATGTATTTTTATGTCATTAAATCATCTGCATAAGAAGTCATTGAAAGTCAATGTCCCAATTTTAAAAACACATTAGTTGTGCTTCTTGGAAGTATCACTTGAAGGAAAAAAAAGGAAAACACGCAAAAGAATAAACTCTTTTTGAGGAAGAGGATCCAAAGGACTATAAGAAAGGCAGGGATTATCCAAAGGTGGCTACTAAGTCCACCTGTCCCCTTTCCCACTATGTTTTTCCCAGCACAGCTATGAGACTCTTCTTCTGGATATGACTGGGCAGATGATAACAGCAGGTATCTGAGTTAAGAAAACTGCCTGGTGAAAGAGAGACGCAGCAGGATGTGTATGGGTGAGGTGGGAGGAAATGGGCTGTTGGTATAACTTTTCCCCCAACCAGAGCTATGACTTCTGAGGTCTTATTGCCTCAGAAATTGGAATGGCTTTTGTTTTGTTTTAGTGTGAGTGCCATTATTTAATAAGACATGAGGTGGGAATGTTAAAAAAGAAGAAAACTGTTCTTTGTCTTTGCTTCTGAAAGTATGGTCTGTGGATCAGCAGTATCAACAGCACCTAGGAGCTTGTTAGGAATACAGACTGTCAGGACACACTCAGACCT